ATCATGAAGGTCACTGTGACATTGTACTGTCAGAGGTCATTCTATGAGTCTAACTGCAGGACTTTACAGTAATATGTATGATAGGCAAAAGTACTCACTTTGGGTCAATATCTTCGGTATTTGGTGGTGTGATTGCCCTCGGTCCTGACGATAATGTAGGACTTGGTGCTTTTCCCATCGGTATTTTACATTTACCAAGTGGTGACTTATTGGCTGCACCTTTCTTACCAGGTTTACCTTTCACTTTCCCCTGAAATACACAATAGGAATGAAGTGTATTTCACTTATATATTAGTTATATATGTTATATATAGTATAACAGCATTCATTCAATTATTATTAAGTAGTTTTCTACTTAAAATGAATTACTGTGAGATATCAGTATTGAGACAATAATCGGTATTCCAACCATGCTATACATGCAATCCAAGAGAATAAAATGTCCCTTTTTAATTGAAGTGAATACTTACATCAGCAGCAGCTTCAGCACTCCTAATTGCCGCAAGTTGGGCTTCTTCAAACTCCTTTCTAGCCTTGGCTTCAAGATTTCTCGTTATCATACGCACTGCTTCTTCTCGTATGGCAGAGTCCGTTAGTAGAGGTTGAAATTTCACAGAGATAGCTTGTTTCTACAAAAGAAAATAAATCTGTAACTCAAATGTTTATGAATTTGTTAACTTAACCAATGAATTATATATAAAGTTTGAAAAATTTTCATTTTTGTAAGTAACAGTGAATTATAATATGAGTGCCCTCAGTGGCATCCAAAATATTTCAAAAACTACTTAATGCAGGGCGCCCTCAACTTATATGTGCATGACGCACATAGTGCCATCTAGCCTCACTTTGAACTTTGATTGTATCTTATGATTTACCTTTCCAGGGTGGACAGTGCCAACTCTGGGAGACACAGTAAGCTGAGTGTCCTCTGGCAGTACAAATTCAAACGACGTTGGACCAACAGGAACAATATCACCTTTGCCAATTCTGGGTACTGGATGTGTGAATTCATTGGCACTGGTATGCGAGTTGACTACGTGGAATGAAGCAAAGGACGCATCATCTATCGCAGTGGCAGCAAAGTGGATTACCGAGTGAGAGAACTCTAATGGGGGATGCACTCCAACAGCTTTACATTTAATCTGGAAATCTCTGGAAATATACAATAATTAAAACAGAGTTTACAAATAAACACTACCAGTACTATTTCTTCAAAAGGACAACTCAGGCTTAGCACTTGAATATTAATTACATCATGAATATGCATGAGTTTATAGAAATAATTTGAATATCATACATCATGAATATTATTATTAATTAAAAGTATTGAATATGAATTACCTCAACATTATTAAGGAAAAAAGGGTTGTTTTTTTCTGGACTATCTGAAGTTAAATTTATTTATATAAATTCTAAATGAGTTATGAACAAATTTGAAGCATTATTTACCTATTAATGCCAGATTTGCAAGTTAACTCAAAGCTGTATTCCTTGGCTTTCTTGGCATTAAATATAATATCCAGTTCCAGCGTTTCCAACGGCAGTAACGTACCAAATCCATCGTTTGGCTGCACCTCTACAAACTAGGACCATATATAACATTTGTTCAGTGTGGTGGCACAATAATGAACATAATTTTTATAAGGAAATAACAAAGTTTACATTAATTCTGTTAAGTCAAAAACAATTATCCTGAAATGTTTGAAAAAATATTGCTAGTACAATGTGCCTTTTATCTCTTTTTATAATATATGAGTATTTTAGGCAAAATCATGAAAAAACAGTGTAAATCTTGAACTACTTTTTTTTTTCTTTTGCCTGATACCATGTTGCCAAAGATATAAAAAAAAATACTTTAATTTTAAAATTGCATGTAATAAATTAATATTTTAAGTGGAATTCAGAAATCTGAATCGTAATTGAGAAATGACATCCCAACATTATGATTTTATAACCATGAACACCAGTGGGCGCTGTTCAACTTTGACAATCACACACGCAATCTTCATTAAACAGACTATGATATAACAAATACTTACATCAGGCAGACTGACAAATCCAAATGGCTGTGACAAAATGGATTTATTGGTGAGTTTGACAGTAGTCACGACTGATTCATATATAGTACAGTAACCAAAGTTTATAAACTCTGTGTCAAATTCCATATCAGAGTTAGTAATTACTGCATGCACTGTGAATGGGACAGGTACAGTCTACAGAAATCAAACAAAATTAAAATGAGTCAGCAAAGCTTGTTAAAAATGTAATGATGGAAAATCGGTTTTCAAATTCAACCCAGTCACTTTTATGTACATTCAACTTTGACTATCAACATACTGTAAAATACTTTATTTTCGCTATTTTCGCTGAAGGAATGATTCAGTGAAAATGAAATCCAGCAAATATACCTTTTTTCCTATATTTTACATTCAACTTGTCAAAATCAGTGAAAATAAATTCCATACAAAACACAGTCTTTTCAGCAACAATTAATTCCAGTTGAAATAAAGCATTTTACAGTAGTTCCTTACATACATATGTAAACACTTTGAGCTAAGAGTGTAATTCAAATAATTTAGAAATTTTGGCACTTGTGAATAAAAAAATTTCAATATAAACTTTTCCTATAGGAGTAGAATATAACCTGTCACCTTTGAACTTTGAACTCATTTCTACATGTACTTACCTGGTCGGCGACACGTATTGTCATTGGCGCTTCTAATACCCCAGTCTCTTTATCAAAGTACTTCCCACCTTCTTCAATTAAAGAATGTCTGCAATAGATCAGTATGAGAGCTGAGTAATCTAAATATATAATATTAGTGCACATTTCGTCTCTAATCAGCTTGTTAGTATAGAGTGTTTTACATTATCAAAAATATGCAGAACATGCTGTGAGCATCCTACACCAACTAGGTTGATCAGTAAAATTAATAATTTTATGGTTATTATGAGAATAACACACTGTATGCACTGAGACAGTAAATGGTTGATTGACCTCCGCTATGCATCGGCAGATATTCACACTGAACAATTTTTTTTTTTAAATATTTTTTGTGCCAGGCGACAGTTTTCGGACATTCAGTGTCACTGTTGTCTCTCCTGACTTTATTTTTTGTACGTGCAAATTGCAAGTGCTAGTGACGACACCTAGTGCATTTTGCCACAGAAGTCATATTCATGTTTGGGACTACATGACAGGGCCGTGTGGCCATCTCGATGTCAAATGGCAATTTGTAATGCGCTATCCTGGCATCAACCAGGCCCGGTCGAACACAAGCACCTGCGGACCTTAACCAAGGTTCCCCCCAAAGTTGCATTCGTTAGTGAATGAATCTCAGCCAGTGGAATTGGCCTTCCCATTGAGTCTGTAGTACACTTACCCAGGGTAGGGGGTCGACCCTTTTGATGTTCAGCCTAAGGTAGGATTTGAACTTGGGTCTACCGATCATGAGTCTGATGCAACAACCACTATGCTACCAGTGACCATACTTTGCAGTAATCTGATTAAAATAAGATCTTTGTTTGGACTTTGTTTATTTTTTCTTCTCATTTTTTTTGTATTTTAAATTTGTCTTTATTCATTTTTATCTTTTACTTTATTTTATTTCAATTTACTATTTCTTTGCTGACGAATTATAGTACCTGCATAGAAACTTTGAACTGAATTGTACAATATCTTACAGAGGAAATAGCATGAAAGAAAAACACAGCCAGTCGGGTATTGTTGTTCAAGTATCTCCAAAGGAAATATGGCTTGCACCATAACCTAATATGCAAGGTCATCATACAAAGTTTGATTGAAAATGCCCTATTCAACTTTGAACTGAATCAGGCCATATCTGCCTGTTCAGCTCCAAGAAACAGTTCCGAACATGTTACAGAATGAAATTTTTTGATTTTTTGACAAAATGGTCACCATTTCGACAAATTTGATCAAATCTCAAGACCAAAAATGTTGTTGTGTTACCTTGCAGTATACTACCTATGTACAAACTTTCAAGTGAATCAGGTCATATCTTTCAGAGGAATCGGCACAAAAAAGGAAAAAAAACAAAATGGCTACCAGTCGACCATTTTGTTAATAGTCCAAAAACGGGGACTAAAAAGAAATTAAATGCACCATACAATACATCTGATTTTAATCAGACTGACTTTTGCAGCAGCAACCTTGCCAGATAACATACTGAATCATGGTTACTAGAGTAAATGGATTTGATTATCACAAATGTACTCTTAAATACATTTACAAACCTTGGCAAAAATTTCATCTGTGCTGAAAACTGTTGTTGCGCTTGAATATAACCAGTTTTTGGTAATAATTCCAGATGATTCCTGAGTTCTTTACAGACTTCAAACCTCAATCTAAGGGCAGTTGTAGCTCTGTTGTTAACCACAATGGAGTCTTGGTACAATCTATCAAACATACAAATTTTCAGGTCCACATTCTGTCTTTCAACCCATACAGGCACATCAATTGCACTAGCGATAGCTCGCACAGAAATCTGAAAAATACAACACATATTACATATATACATGATCACGTATGAACTATCACAACAGCAGTATTGTATTTGCTATACTAGAAATGTGTTACTTTATCTAAAAGCGCTGTGTGATATACTTACTAGCTCCACTGTCCTACACGGACATTGTGGTAACCAAGTTTGAAAAAATTTGTTCACAAAAATAATGTACACCTCAAATATCAAAGCAATCGGTTGGTAATGTTCAACAAGAATTCCAAAATATCATTTTTTACCAAAAATTACTGAAATATTTGCCAAAAATGGAGAATTGATGATATATATCAGCACAAAATAAACAAATCTAACAGCAGTCCACACAAGGCTCGTAAATATAACATATCAAACCAATCGAACTGGTAGTTCTCAAGAGGAAGTAAAATAACCCTTTTTTTAAAAAAAATGACAAAAATATTCACCAAAAATAGATAATTGAAAATATCGTAACAAAATGAACAAATCTGACAGAGGTCCACACAATGGTACATATCAAGTATCAAAGCAATTGAGCAGGCAGTTTGAAGAAGAAGTAGAAAATGCAATTTTGACGACGGCCAGATGATGATGGATAATAACCTACATGTATATGAAAAAATGATAGCTATGATGAACAACAATGAAAATAAAACAATTATAAAACTAGCTAAATACATATACGAATGTTTCAAAATTAGAGAAAATAACATGAAAAAGCCTTCATTCTCATCCAAATAAACAACATTATTAATATCAAGGCATATCTGCAAGGTTTTTTCTTTTTTCTTTTTTCTGTTATCATCATTTTTATGATATTTTATCTTATTTTCCTTCTTGTTTTTTCTTTCATCCACACTTTATTGTAATTTAACTCAAGATCCTATAAAGGATACGATATCAATAAAGTTTATTATTATTATTATTATTATTATTATTATATGAACAGCTCTAAAAAAGTAAATACTGTATATGCATTTCCGAGCATGAATAGGCTCCTAAATCTGAAATCAAACTCACCGTTTCTGACAGAGGATCTGTAAATCTGATGTCAAAGTCAGTCTCCACTTTACCAGGAATAGTTGGTGCAAAGATGATTTCCAGCTTGACAGATGAGAACGGGCCAATCTCATTACTGGTTAACACTCCGAGTTTCATTCCATCTAGATCAGCTATATCTTCAAAATCAACTGGATCGATTGGAACACTGCCGGTACTCGCCCCTACGGTAACAAAACAAATCAAATCAATTAGGAAAACAATCCAAACATCAGTCGTATACACATAATAGAAATGATCAATATACTTATATAATAATATTTGCTCTTATTAAAAGCATATGCGCTTATGTAAATGAAGTGGATGTGTCTATTTGTCCATAACATACAATAGTAGTGTTCACGCTACACAAAGTACAGGGGCTAAGATTTAAGCTGATTTAGGCTTATCTCACATGTTTGCAATTCAGATTTGGATTTAGACTTTTGGATTATGTATGTTTCTATTGTAGATGCACTTCTAATGAAACAGATAAGGAATTATATATGCTATATTAGACACACATGCATTTATGAAATCCTGATTTAAATTTACCTAATTAACAAATCACACATTTCTCGAAATGCAGTGCCACAGAACTTCAATATTCTGACAACAAACAGTTACCTGTACTGTAAAATCTGTTATTTTAGCTAGAATTAATTTTTGCCGAAAAGACACTTTGGGTGTTTTGTACAAATTTATTTTCACTGATTTTTAGCATGTTGAATGTAAAATATAGGATTATATTTTCATTAAATCATCCCCTCACAAAAATAAAATTCCAAGTGAAAATTTTACAGTATAACCTTTTGAAAACCATAATTGGCCGGGAAAACTTTGCGTGTAACATTTTCTTTATTTTTTAATAATTAGTTTGTTAATTTTGGACCAAATATGTAAAAAATTATGAGGTTCATTTTGTGGAAGGTGACAACGAAGCATTAAAGCAGGGGAGTTGTCACCTGCGCATGCGTCAGATGGGCATAGCGTGTCATTGTTCACAAACAAGCGTCTACCCATGAGCCTTTGCATTTTTAGTGTGTGTTGTTATCGGCGCTTGGAACTCAAGTCCTTGTGTACGTGCGCAGGTGACGACCCTCCCGCTTTAAAGAACCACAGTTGCTGCTCTGTGACATGTTCAAAAAAGGTCCCTTGTGATGAATGCAACTTGCACAAAATACCTATAAGTTGTTTATTTACAATGGTTACCAACATGCTGCAAATTCTGGTTCATCTCAAGCAATACTTGACTTCAGAAATTATTAGCTTTGGCTAAATGTCAAATTATTGCTCTTATGTAAGAGACAGATGTTACTCACCATCTTTCTTTTCCTCATCTGCAGTTATTTCACTTCTGATAGTCTTGGCAGAATCTGCTCTATCACTCACAGCAGCCTCGTCTCTTTCTTTCTCTTCAGGTTCCTGTTTACCTTCCACATCACCTGTCATAGACAGTAGTGTAATACAAGATGAAAGGATGCAATCAACTACCATTATTAACCACCACTCATTACAAGTGTAAAAACTTGTTTCTGTTTTTAGAGGAACTGTTAACCTCGATACCGAATAGTTCAATTACATGAGATCTGACATAATTGGAAAGATAGCATAAGTTATGAATTTTCTAGTGATTTTACTACAAAACAAATTATGCACACATGAAAATATTACTATCTGTGTTAACAAACTTTATTATACACAAAACACAAAAACTCATCCATCTGTAAAATGCCTTATCTTCAGCAAAACAATCCTCTAGCCAGGAGCATACAGTATTCTTACATTTTAGTTCTAGGGGGCATAGCGGCATTTCAGGTATGACCCTTTAAAGGGTGCAAGTTATATTCAGACTTGGCATAATATTTTCATTTGCACACAGCTACTTATAATTCCCATTTGACACACTTGTAATATTCCATTATTCTAGTCTTTAACGTGTGTTTTGCTTTATTTTTATTTTTTAACCTTTTCACCACCAGTTCCCTCTTTTCATCCTAAATTCATAAAATAGTCATGTTTATAGTTTGCCCTTTCCTTTAGAGGATTGGGACAAAAATAACCAAATTTGTTGTGTGAAAACTGAAAATTTACTTAAATTTTTTCTGTTGGCGCTAAAATTAGGATTAATTTCCAGAAATATTAAAGAATATGAGAAAAAAAATGATGAAAAATTTGGTCGAGAAAGTCTGGTGGTGAAAAGGTTAAAGATATCTCACTCTATTGATACATATCATTGAAGCTGGTTATTTTGTATAATTACCAAGAATTACAATTTTCTACAGATTATATTTATTGGATCTAGCAGCATAAAATTGTACACAATTGCTGGGTTGTATGTGACGTAACTGAACCCCCAAAACATTTGATTTGTAAAAATCAGCTCATATACCCGGTACTGTAAAATACTTTATTTTCACTTGGAATTAATTTTATGCTATTTCCGCTGAAGAAATTATTCAGCAAAAATAAAGTCCAGTGAATATACTTTTTTTTTCCTATATTTTACATTCAACTTGTCAAAAATCAGTGAAAATGAATTCCAAACAAAACACCCATAATATTTTTTTAGTGAAAATTAATTCCAGTATATTACAGTAGTCATTGTATTTTATAAGATACACACACAAAGCTTTTATCTTGTTATCCAAAATGAAAGTCACTTCCAAACTTTCCTGTGATTCATTGCACAACCCAGCAATAGTTTCAAAACACCAATAAACCTAAGGCCAGACTTTTATTATCCCTTGTTTCGCGTACCCGCCAAATGAACAGGAGCCGAAAATGAAATAAAAATAAAATTTTATTTCAGCGTAGTTTCTCGCGCCCGCCAACTTATAAGCGCAAAAAAATGCTAAAAAAATATTATTTTTATCTTAATTTTTTTATCGCCCGCCGCATAACAAATCCAAGTTGCATTTTCATGGGAGTATCATGATCAAAGTACCGAAGTCTCACGCAGATGAGAAACAAGGTTATACATGGAATAATATTTTATTTCATTTCTTCTCTCCAATCAATGATCTCACTCACAATTCTTTGAGAATCACACAAATCTAATGGAAAAAAAGAATTAATTTTATTTTTTTTCCACCCTCCTCAAAAAAATTGCCTTATAAAAACTTGAGAAACAAGGAATATAAACAGTCTGGCCTAAGAATAAAGAAAAATATCTGTACCCGTTGATCTGTTTTCTTCAACTTCACCATTGACTTGAATAACTGGCTCAGGTGATTTCACGCCATTTTCTGTGAGTTTCTCTTCTTTTTCTTCTTCTTCTTCTGCACCTTTAACAGTAGAACTTATTGACTTCTCTGTCTCCAAACCAGTCTAGTGATAAAGATTGTAAGAAAATACGGTACATATAAAATCAGACATTAATTTTAGTCAGAATTGTTTTATAAACTCAAATAAAATGCATTTCAAAAAGTTGTATCAGTAAGAAAATGAATCTTTGACCATCCCATTGATTTGTGTACATACAAAAGATATAAACCCTTTTGATAAGCCTGGCACCCTCTCAGTTTCATGTGGGAAAGGCATTCCAGGTGAGCTCAGAATGAGCCTCACTGGGAAGCCCAGTTTGTCCCTGCTAGGAAACTGCCTTTTCAAAGGTAAGTATCTCTGTATTTATTTTTAATTTAAACCAACAGTCTGTTCAATTATGAAAAGGGTATATGACCTACTCTTTTTTTCAGTGTCCAGCCCATGCTAGAATTTAGATCGACTGATCATGACTCAGGTGCAAAAATTTATACAATAAAAGTCCTAAATTATCTACTACATGGATAATTTAATCAAGCATATACTGTAAAATACTTTATTTTAGCTGGAATTAATTTTCGCTGAAAAAACTTTTTGGGTGTTTTGTATGAAATTTATTTTCACTGATTTTGGTAAGTTGAATGTAAAATATAGGAAAAAAGGTATATTCGCTGGATTTTATTTTCACTGAATCAATCCTTCGGCGAAAATTATTGGCAAGCGAAAATAAAGTATTTTACAGTAAGCACCAAATTAAAGCTAACTTTTTATATAAAACCTTAAGGTTCATAAATGAAGCAAGATTAAAATGATTCAACTACGTTCAACACTGTCACCATTCTATCAAAGAACTTACCATGCCTCCGATTGACGCCATAGAGGTCATCGTATGAGGTCGCACTCCTGGAAAATAAGATTAAATATATAAATGTTTAAAATAGCCATGGAATAAGCTGTATTTTTTCAATACAACACTATGCATGGGAGAAAATGTTATACATGCGTTTAGCAGGACTTACCCGATATTTTGACAAATTCAAACTGAGTTGCCAACGCTCCCTTATTTGTCAGAGTAATACTCTTCTTTAATGTTTCACCGATGACCTGAGTGCCAAAATCTACAAGATCTTTATCCACTGAAATCTGAAAATTACAAAAAATATTTTGACGTTACCTTATTAGAGAGATCAGAAATAAATATGGGATACAATAAAATAAAATAAATTGAACTGATCAGAAGACAAATCATGAGTCCTGAATACACGGTTGTCGAATTTTGGGAAATGAATGCCTAAACAAATTGCTGAACTTCCTAGTAATGAAATGATATGGTTTACAATATTTGCAAATAACCATGCATGTGATTGCTTCGTTTGTGTATAAAGCAAAGAAGGTTGCTTTACTTCTGGTTTGTATGCAGAAGTTTAACCTACCAGTCTAAGTTTTGTATCAAACATGTTAATTTTTATCGGTGGCATCAAGGCTGCCCCCTTTCAACTAAACAAAATACATGTAAATCCTGAGAAATATAATGTAAGAGCCATTTATTTTTACTGACATTTAATTTTAATCATTTGAGTTTTATATTAGGCCACACCGACTTAATTTTATGGATGACATCCGCGCGCGCATTAGTTTTAGCCTGTTCTCAAAAAAAAAAAAAAAAATTCCGACGACGATTCTCCACATATCGGTTTTCTGTCACGGAACTTGCTGACTCATAGTGTCCAAACGTGCCTATTTTGTCGTAAATGATCTTCCGCACATGGGTATTGCGTTGCCGGGAATTCCAACATGGCGACTGCGCCACCAAAATACGTGAGCATAAAAGTTCAGAGAAAAAACGGAGGGATTGTTGTTGACTGGTACGTAATTGACGTCGGCCAGGGAGAGTCCTGTGGATTTAGCAGAATTTTTTTTTTGGCAAGATTTTTTTTTTTTTTTCGCCCTCTCGCATTAGTTTTGGGGTCTCCAGAGGATGTCATCCATAAAATTAAATCAGTGTAGCCTTACTGGAATCTAAGTTCACAAATTTGGCGATAAAACAATTCTATTCTTATTCTATATGTTCATGTGGATTTCATCTAGCAGATTCCACTTATCAGAAAAATTTAAACCAAAGAATAATTATAATAAGTATTTTTCAGTCACCAGAACCAAATAGAATGTGACATATCTTGAAGTCTACCCAAGCAAAATGAGATGGATTATGAAATCCCTCTTATTCTTTCTATCATGGAATTAACAATGATACACATTCTGTAACAAAGCATCCAGACAACTGGGAAATCGTCTATTGACGACTGGATGACAAAATCACAGTAGCTGAGACACAAATCATTATGCCACCGCACTCACATACTGAGAGTAATTTCAAAGATTGTTGCCAAGATTACCACCTTTCAAACTTACATCACATTTCTTTGTGGTACAAAGTAAAGGTATTGTGAATGGACCAGTCTGAGCAAGAAAACTGACTTGACCATCCAAGTCTTCGTTGATCTGCAAAAATAAAAAATAATACTATTAATTAACAACAGTTGAATACAGAAACGCTTCACTGTGCAAACTTGTTTGTTGAACAGTTTAAAGCAAAACTCTTTTCAGATTTTGATGTTAAAAAATGTTGAATTAAACAGTGCTTACTTTATTTTGATAAAGAATTTGAAGCATTTTATAACAATTTTATTTTAAACATCACTACATGCTGGTGATGCAAAAGTATGCTTATTTCCTGGCATACCTATGAAATCATACACGCATATAGTGATCTTAAAAAACATTTTACTATAATTATGGAATTTGGTATTTGGTATTCACATTTCATAAATAAACTAAGCATAAAAACAAAGGAAATCAGATGTCACAACAATTTAGTTTGTACTTTCAGAACCTTCCAACATACAATCTCTCCTCAGCAGCCCCCCAAAGGTGACACAACTTGATTTTTGGACTTCCATTGTGACTCAAGATCTTTAAAAAATCGGTCCTGTTAGAAGATGCACTGATTTGAACAGTTGCTGACACTACCAGAATTGACAAAACTGATTCACCAACCAGGAAAACAAACCTAATGTAATTAAACTGTGAAATACAGACAAGAGTTGACTTTAGTCTGCATATTAAGGCTGTATACATGTGTAATATATGCTTAGTCAAGGGACACTTACCATAGGTTTAAATGTAACCAGCATCTCACAGGTTAAACCAGCAGACATCTGGCCAGGAGGATCAAATCTGAAAACACACAAGGTGAATAATTTAAACCATTTTAATTGCACTAACGACACACAATTTTTCGAAATTCACACGGCAGAGAAATCATGAAATTCTGTAGGAGTGAGTATTTCATTGGGGTTATGAGACATTTGGATAATACTTAAATGAACAAAAATTTATAGCAGTGGAAATAATTACAGTTTATGGTCAAACTTTTTAAAGCACATATTTTATATATGTTGTACACGTCACATGGGAACCATATTGAGCATGATATAGTACAATGTCTATTTAGCTGAATATGGCATGCTCAATTATGGCAGCAAATATCACATGGCAGCCAAAGTTGGAGCACATGGCACATAGCAAGTAGAACGTTGAACCACTTACAATATATGTATAAAGTCCTTCAAGTGTTCTGATATCCCAATCAATTTAAGGAAATTCACGCTATATGATACATTTGTCAGGATTACTTTTTTCTTGTATGTCTTACCAACATCAAAATCCTACAAGAACAATAGCCAGAAAGTCACACATACTTGTATTTACAATTATTATAAATGATTGTTTATGAAATATACAGTAACCTTTAACCTCAGAGGTACTTATTTCTCATCACATGACACAAATTGTGAGGAATTGTACTGTTTTCCCAGGGACAATGTTAATCTCACATTAGGCTTGCTGGTTGGCCAACTGTGAATTAGAAAGCCAATAAAGGCATGTGAAAGCACAAAATGTTTGTAATGTTCCCAGGTTTCTGCCATTCACTGTATCACCAACACACTTGCTTTATTAGAAAAGCAATATAGGCACATGAAAGCACAAAATGTTTGTAATGTCCCCAGGTTTCTGCTATTCACTGTATCACCAACACACTTGCTTTATTAGAAAGGTAATAGAGGCACATGAAAGCACAAAATGTTTGTAATGCCCCCAGGTTTCTGCCATTCACTGTATCACAAACACACTTGCTTTATTAGAAAGACAATAGAGGCACATATGATTTTTGTGAGATTTTAAAGTCTACCAAACTCACACAAGTACACAAGCTTATAATAGAGCAAATATGGTACATGTTTGACTATTGATTTACCTTAAAATGTATCACATCCGGTTTACTGTAGAACGGGCACCCTTTGAACTCTTTACCGGCTGCAATCTGCTTCTTAACGATTCCTGATCTTTGTTTCTCTAATGCCTCAGTCATTATGTCTTTCTCCATTTTACTCGGGTAATGCGACAACACAAACTTCTGATCATCTTCTTTAGGAACCTTCAAAAAATTAACAAAATAGCAATAAATGGCAGTCCCCATAGTAATCCATGAGGTAGGATGTATGTTTTTCTTCGGCGAACAAGGAACTGAGGGAATATGAGGAAATGCCAGGTTACTTGGCTTGTGCTCAATATAGCATGCAGATGCCACTAGTAATTACTATACCAAGGGTTGGCAAGGGGTATTTTCGTAAGCTGTAATAAACTGTTTTTATTTTTGTAATAATCTAATTTAAATAAATGAAAAACATGGGCAAGGTGTAAAATGTAATCAGCTATTTTATTTGTCAGTAATTTGTACAAAGATATTATTTTTTGTAAGCGTATAAAGCATTTTCCAAATTAAATGTCATAATTCGTATGCAATTTCCAATTTTAATTCTTAAACTCAAATTATCAAAAATATTATAAAAATGTAAAATGTAAAAACCTACATTGTATTTTTCACTGTAAATGAAACTTTCATTTTATTTCCTGTAAAAACATAAAATGCTGTTTTTATTTT